GACAGAGCCTCAAGCTATCGCCCTGGGTAGTGAGTGCTATGGCTGTCACTCACAGCAACCTCCGACTTCTGGGCTCAAGCAAGTCTCCTGACTCAGCCTCCTAAGTAGCTGGGACCATAGGCACCCGCCACAACGCCCGGCAATTTTTTGGTTGCAGCCGTCATTGTTTGGTGAGCCCAGGCTGGATTCAAACCCGCCACCTTAGGTGTATGTGGCTGGCGCCTTAGCCACTTGAGCCACAGGCGCTGAACCCCTTTCCCCTTTTCCTCCTCTTGTCATTTGATGTTTTGTTCCCTCACGTGTGTCTCTATCTCGCAGTTCCTTCTCAGAGGAAAGGGTCCATTTTGTGGGAAAGGTCCTAAATTGAAAGATTTGACTCTGCAGAAAGTCTTGGCATCATCTTGGTGTGACCTTGACTTTGTTGCTCACCCCTCAGGGCCCAGACTCCTCTGCTGTAACACGTGCCTGTGGGTGTTCCACGCCAGGGTGATCCCCCCTCGACCCACCATGAACAAGTAGCCCATTTTCCCAGTTGACACCATGCCTAGGGTTGCCATTCACATTTAGTGGGCTGGAGCCAGGGATGCTGAACCTGCAATGTTCAAGAAGGTTCCACCCCATGTGCCAATAACACCCTCTTGCAGAAACACTAATGGATGGTCTCCTTAGGACTCCAGCAATAAATTCAGTGATTCTATGATTCCATTTCTCCATATACCTCCCACTATGTTTCATAGTCCCTAAGGAGCAAAGGCTGTTTCTCATTCATGCTTCCTGTGTCTCTGTCACAAGAGATCAGAGGCCCCTTTTGGGGGGAGTAGATCTAAACAATAGAAGGGTCACTCTGGCCCTTGGGACCATTCCTGTGGTCCCTCTCAGTCCCAGCAGCCTCACTGACCAGCAGCAGCCTGGTACATCCCCCAGGTACCACACATAAAGCTCGTAATAGCCTATAATGGAGTCTCATGGATATTACATGCTTCCAAATCCCACATTATCTGGTTGGGGGGATTAAAGAGAAGATTGGGAGGGAGTAGGGACACAGTGGGCCCTGGGGCGGGTGTCAGTACACAGAGCCGCGTAGCGTGCCGAATCCATTTGCCACGGCCCCCGCCTCCCCAGCATTCACCACTGGTGAGATAGCAGCCAGAGCGCTGCCTCTTCAAAGACTAACAGAGGAAAGAGGCTGGAGAAATCCCCACTCGCCAGGAGAAGATAGCCTTTTTCTGTGGCCCCTAAAAGGACTTCAGATTTGTTCCCAGGTAATGAAAACTTGCCTAGTAAACTTCTTAGTCAATAAGATAATTATGAAGTCATCCAGGTGTCTCTTCTTGAGCCCTTTTTACCAGAAGAGGTCCTGGCTGGGTAAGATTCTGGGAATGACATGATTCATACCTCGTCTAAGCAGACATCATGTCAAATCCCTGGAAATTTCAGAGCAGCATATTCTAACCTCTGCCTGTCCTACACCAGCCTTGGCCTCTCATATGCTCTGAGATTCACTTTTCCTTTTCCACCCTTCCTTCTCTCCTCCCCTTCCTTCCTTCCTTCCTTTCTCCTTCCTTCCTGCTTTCCTTGAATTAAAAACTCTACTTATAGGAAGGTGCTGCATGGGAAAGACAAGTTATGCCAAGACAACAGGCAAATCTGTCGAATTATGAAATGCTGAGTGATGTTCTAATTCCCAAGCCGTCCTGTGGTGGATGAACCGGGAGCTCCCCATCCTTAGGAGTAATCAGTGAGCTGATTCTGCCGGTGAATGTAATTGTGCCGATTGTAATCATTTTGCTCCAGCTCTCTGCCCCGGTGGCATTTATTTCTTAGCCCAGATATTGATCTAACAGTGGGAAATTTTCCATCTGAATTTGTGATGCTGGACCCTCCCCTGGTCTGAAGATATGTTGGGGAAATTCTCATTTTCTGTGGATCACAGCTGAGCTATTTGGCCTGAGGGAAACCGTGCACTGCTGGAGAAATGCCTTGGATTGGAGGAAGATTTTTGACCATTATGAGCAAATCGGAAATAAATGTAAAACACTGCCTAGAAATGCAAAGGCCTGTCATTATGGGAGATAGGTGAGAGGCTCCTATGGGAGATGTTTAGAGAATTGGAAATCAGTCAATCAAAACCAGGATTGGAGAACGGGTCTTTTCTCCCCTGTATGATGATAGATGACTTCCATGGGCAGATTGAAAATCATTTAAGTGCTTATTTTCTTATTGCCTTTTTCTAGATACCAATAAATAGACTGCTCATTCTGCATCAATTTCTCAACCTGTGCTCCAGGCCTCCCCTTCCTCTTTTTCTGCTCAGACCTGGGCTACAAAGTTTGGGAAGGAGAAGAGTGAGAAGAGACAAGGGCACCTGCAGGGGAAGGAGGAGCGAGGAATGAATGGTGAGGACTAGCTAGAAAGGAGGCAGGAAGCGAGCACTTGGGTTGCCAAGGAACCCTAGAAAAGAGTACATCTCCCAACTCCCAGAATGCCCATCTGCCAAGTCAAGAGCATTTGGTCTATGAACTATGCCTTCCTCCCAGCCCCAGTCTGATCCAGCACTAGGAAGAGGTAATCGAAGATTCCTCTCAAGGCCTTTGTTAACTATCCTATGGTCCAACTCATGCCTCAGATGTGATGTACAGAGCTGGTGATCAGGGATTTCCACCAGTTACTACAACAGGACAGAGTGCAAAATAGAATGGGGAGAAAACGGGAAGGGGAGTCAGCTCTCCCTGCATCTATTATGAAAATATCTCCCATCCCAAGCCCCAGCTTTCCCCTGTCTGGGTTAAAAGTGCCAGCTCTTAAGCGAGCTCTTGGAGTCACGTTGGAGATGGGGCTCAAATGGGGACTTGGTAATGGCTGCTGTCTTTGTTGGTTTTGGAGGAGCTCTCTGTGTTTCATCTTCCACTCAGTGGGCCGAGGTGGAATTGGTTAACAAAGACTGCTCCAGGGAGGGGACGTGGCTGACAAGTCAAACACTTCGCAGACACAAGAAGCAGCAGCTGCGGAGGGGGCCACCAGGTTCTGCCAGCAGCTGTACTGCCTACGGCTGTGATCTTGTCTGATACTGTCAGCTAAGCAGGGGCAGCCTGGGTCAGGAGCTAGATAGTAGGACTCAAAGGGAGAAGGCGGGGCAGGAAAGAAATGGTCCACAGAGCTGGGCTTTGCTATTGGTATCAGTGTCCTGGCTGTACACATCACAAAAGATTCAGACCTTTTGATCTGACGCATGTGGCCTTGTCTGTTCCTGGAATATATGCAAATATTCTGAACCCACTCGTGTTTAGTATGCTGCTGTCACAGGAAGCAGCCAAACAGAATAAAAAGCATTGGACAACCACCTTAACTACCTACTCCTACAGGTTTGTTGTGTTTGGTTTTTTTAATCATCATCAAATAGCATTAAGTATGTTCACATCTGTCAGTTATGGTATTGTGCTAGTTCTTCTCTAGAAGAACCTTGGGAGATGTAATGACCACAAAGATGATGAATCATTTAGAAAATCAGAATCGGGACAAGGTGCAGTGGCTGTAATCCTAGCACTCTGGGAGGTGGAAGCTGGAGGATCTCTTGAGCTCAAGAGTTGAGAGCAGCCTGAGCAAGAATAAGACACCCCCTCTCCCATCTCTATTAAAAATAGAAAAATTAGCTGGGTGTTATGGCGGGTCCCTGTCATTCTAGCTACTTGGGAGGCAGAGACAGGAGACTCGCTTGATCCCAGGAGTTGGAAGTTGCTGTGAGCTGGGATACCATGGCACTCTACCCAGGGGGACAGCTTGAGGCTCTGTCTCAAAAAAAAAAAAAAAAAAAAACCTTTAAAGTACTATAGGATGCTAAGTATTCTTATTATTGTTGCTGTTATTCTATTATTAATACGTCTTTTCTTATGGCTAACCTGATTTACTCAGGCATATTAATTTACTTGGTTCTTTTACTTAGTAGGGACACAGAATAGATAACTTCCCATTCTCAGAATGGTATCTGAATACAGCTCCACTTTGTGCTAAAAGTCGTTCCATTTCCTTTATCTTTTAGCTTTTACCTTTTTTTCTTTCTTTTTTTGTTTTCAAGACAGAGTTTCACTTTGTTGCCCTTGGGAGAGTGCTGTAGCATCACAGCTCTCAGCAACTTTAAACTCCTGGCCTCAAGTGATTCTCTTGCCTCTGAGACTACAGGCCTCTGCCACATGTTGGCTATTCTTTTTCTTTTTAAGAGACTGAAGTCTCATAGGGTGGTGCCTCGTGGCTCAAAGGAATAGGGTGCCGGCCCCATATGCCAGAAGTGGTAGGCTCATACCCAGCCCTGGCCAAAAAAAAAAAAGAGAGAGAGAGAGAGAGACTGAGGTCTCACTCTAACTCAGGCTGGTCTCGAACTTGTAAGGTCAGGCAATCCACCCACCTCAGCCTCCCAGAGTGCTAAGATTACAGGAGAGAGCCACCATGCCCGGAAGCTTTTACTCTTGATTCTGATTTTCTTTTTTTTTTTTTTGAGATAGAGTGTCACTCTGTTGACCAGGTTAGAATGTTGTGGCATCAGCCTAGCTCACAGAAACCTCAAACTCCTGCCTTCAAGTGATCCTCCTGCTTCAGCCCACCTTCAGCCCTCCTGCGCCCACCACAACGCCTGGCTATTTTTTGGTTGCAGCTGTCATTGTTATTTGGCAGGCCCGGGCTGGATTCAAACCCACCACCTTAGGTGTATGTGACTGGCGCCTTAGCCACTTGAGCCACAGGCACGGAGCCTAAAGGTTTTTTTTTTTTTTTTGAGACAGGAGCCTCAAGCTGTCCCCCTGGGTAGAGTGCCATGGCATCTCAGCTCACAGCAACCTCCCACTCCTGGGCTCAAGCGAGTCTTCTGCCT